TGTAACGAGGTCAGGCAGGTAGACTTCATAAAATATGAGTTCCCTGATTGGGGCTGTTAATCTGGTCCAATCAGGGAGCTCTGGCTGACAGGAATTGAGAAATTCTGTTCATTCTGAGAGCTGGCTCTGAGAAAGCCGGACCTGCATCACATACTTTGTACATGTAAATAAAGAGTAACTCAGTGATGGGATACTGGCCTCTGGAGTTATTTCAGTTAGTAAGCAAAATTCAGACACTTGGGATAGGGGTGATACACTAACGTGGATGAGAATTGGTTAATAGAAAGCAGTGATAAGAAATACTTGGATGATTCTTAAGGCAACAGGTTGTTACTAGTGAGATGCGGCAGGGGTCATTGCTGGGTCCACAACTGTTCACAATCTATATAAATGATTTAGACACAGGTATCATCTGTAATATTTCCAAGTTTGTTGATAACACAATTCATTAGGAAGGTAAGTTGACAGGTTTATGCAAGGAGGCTTCAGGGACTAGGACAGGCTAAGTGCATGGTTAGGAACATGGCAGATGGGATATAATATAAATAAGTGTGAAGTTATCCAATTTTGTCAGAAAGTCAGAAGATTTCTTAAAAGGGAAAGTGCGAGTCAAGCAATTACGAAGGCAAATGGTACGTTGGCCTTCATCACAAGGGGATTTTAGTTCAGAAATAAGGATGTGTTGTTGCAACTGTATAGCGCCTTGGTGAGACTACATCTGGAATATTGTCTCTAGTTTTAGTCTCCTTATTTAAGGAAGGATATACTTGCTATGGAGGGAGTGCAACAGAGGTTTATCAGGTTAATTCTTGGGATGGTAGAATTGGTTTACAAGGAAAGGTTGAAGAAGCTAGCTCTGTATTCTGCAGAGTTTCAAAGAATGATCTCCTAGAAACTTACAAAATTCTTATGGGTGTGACAGGGTGGATGTTTCCGAGAGGTTTCCTCTGGCTGGTGACTCTAGACCAGGGGAAATATTCTCAGAAGAAGGTGTAGGCCAATAACACTGAGATGAGGAGGAATTTCACTAATCAGAGGCTAGGGAAACTTTGGAATTCTTTACCCAGAAAACTGTAGGGACTCAGTCATTGAGCAGGTTAAAAGCAGAAATTGATAGATTTCTGGAGACTGATGATATCAAGTGATAGTAAGAGAAAATGGCATTGAGATGGATAACCAGCCATAATCTCATTGAATGGTGGACTAGGATTAAGAAGTTGAATGGTTTATTCCTAGACCTATGACAGGTATTCCTGTCTCTGTCATCTACTAGAGATTATGCAAGGACTATCATGGAGTGGAGATAAATTTCCCAGAGTATTTCTTATCTGAATTAACCTTATTTTTTTTCTCTTTTTGCTCTGACCCCAGAAATTGCATGCATTGGGGGTAGAAATTGTATGGTAGGCATATCTGTCCAGCTTTTCTTTTACTGTTGTTTGTCGATTCATAAGAGTTGGAAAAATTCATTTTAGTCAGGAAGTAACTGAGGACCTGGCTGTTCCTTAATGACAGTGAGTATTACAAGCTCTTCAATATGGCTTACACCAAAAGTGGTGTGATGTGTACTGGTGCAATTTGGAGGTATTTTTTGTATGTGTGTGTATGTATAGTGTGTGTATGTGTGAGAGAGAGAGAGAGAGACAGTGTGTGTGTGTGCACGTGAGAGGAATCAGTAATATATTGACCCCTTGTTTCTCTATGTTGAAATCTTCCCACTGTTCAGGTGATGGACCTCAGTGTAGAGACTACGTCATCAGTCTAGGAGTGATAAAGCCCCTGCTCTCGTTTATTAATCCTTCTATCCCAATCAGCTTCTTAAGGAATGTCACATGGGTTATTGTCAATCTGTGCAGAAATAAAGACCCAGCACCACCAGGAGAAACCATTCAGGAGGTAGGTTTCATTCACCAGCTCCTGCTGCTGTGCTGCCTGTCTTGGGAAAGACAGGCATTACTTCACCATCAAACCTTAATGTTGTGTTTTTTGTTATTACTCTTGTAGCAGATTTTCTTTGTCACTCCAATTTTCCTTTCCTGCTGGGTTGTTAGCATAGCAACTATTAGAGACCTGATTCTGGTACAGTGGCAAAATAACTCTGCCAGTATATACTGTGCTTGTGTGAAATAGTTTACCAGCTGCAGTCAACAAATTCGCTAGGAACCCCTGACCAAAGTGTGATGTAGCAGCTGTACCTGGCAGTGTGTAGCTGATGATTTCTTTGTAACTACGCACTGGATATAATTAAAGCCTTGAACTGCAAAACAAAAGTATTGGCTCCTTACCTGTCTTCTGCTTAATATTGGACAGCTGAAACACTGAAACAATGGAATTTCATGTCTACACATTCTCTCTATCTGCAAAGTACTGGACCAAAACACTGGTCGATGAGTATATGCAGAAGGCTGTGGAGGCAAAGCCACTGAATATATTCAAGAAAGAGTTTGATATATGATTAAATTTTAAGGGTGTCAAGAGGCGTGAGGAGAAAGCTGGAATATGGCATTGAGGTAGAGGATCAGCCATGGTCATATTGAATGGTAAAGTAGACTTGAAGGGCCAAATGGCCTGCACCATTCTTCGTTTTTCCATAGCGTCCAGTAGTTATAGGTGTGCCAAATTGTCAGCCTGACTGACAATCTTAAATTTGCAGACGGAAATAACTTGTACTTTGCGTCTATTTCCAGTCAACAAAACAGGTGACAGTCATTCTCTGATTCATTGCTGAGGACATAAAATAATGCAGCAGAAATAGGCCATTCAGCTCATCGAGTCTACTCTGCCATTGAGTGAGATCATGGCTGATCTGATAATACTCAACACCACTTTCCTGACTTTTCCCTATAACCCTTGATTCCATGACTGATTAAAAATCTGTGTATCTCAGTCTTGAATATCATTAACAGCCCAAGCTTGACAGCCCTCTGTGGTAAAGATTTACACAGATATGTTACTCTCTGAGAAAAGATATTCCTTCTCATCTCTATCTTAAATGTGTGACCCCATCTTCTGGGAGTATGCCCTCTGGTCCTGGAATCTCCCACAAGGGGAAACAATCTTGCCACATCTACCCTGTCAGGTCCCCTAAGAATCTTAGATGTTTTGATAAGGGCACCTTTTGTTATTCTAAATTCCAGTGAGGACAGGCCCAGTCTGCACAATTGCTCCTCATAAGACAATCCCTCCATACTCCACCCTTCCATGGAATGCCTTCAGTGCCAGTACATCTTTCCTTACATAAGAGACTTAAACTACCCACAGTATTACAGCTGTTATACTCCATTCCCTTTGAAGTAAAAGCTAACATTCCATTCACCTTCCCTATTACCTGTTGAACTTAGATGTCAGCTTTTGTGATTCATGGACAAGGACTCCCAAACCCCTCTGTTCTGTAGCTTTCTGCAATATTTCTCCATTTAAATAATATTCAACTCCTCTACTTGTCAAAGTGCATAACTTCACATTTCCCCACATTATTTACCAAATTTTTGCCCACTTGCTTAACCAGTCTGTATCCCTCTGCAGGCTCTTTGTATCATCCCCACCACTTGCCTTCCCGCCTATTTTTGTGTCATCTATAGTACATTGACTTTGCTCATCCAAGTCATTAAGGTATATTGTAAAAAATTATGGCCTCAGCACTGATCCCTGTGGCAGTCCACTTGGTACAGGTTGCCATCCTAAAAATGCCCGCCTTATCCCAACTTTCTTGCCTTCTATTAGCTAGTTAAGCCTTTATCCACGCTAATAAGAGCATAAAAGTACAAGCAGGAGTAGAAAATTCAGCACTGAAGCCTGCTCCACCATTTAATACGATCATGGCCGATCTCATCTCAACTTTCTTGCCCAATCTCCATAACCCTTCAACCCATTACTAATTAAAAATCTGTCTATCTCCTGCTTAAATTTATTCAATGTCCCTGCATCCACCACACTCTAGTTGTGAATTCCACAGATTCATGACCCTTTTTAAATCTTTTACCCCTTATCCAAAAGCTATGACCTCTCATTCTAGATTGCCTGATATGAGGAAAAATCCTTTCTACGTCTACTCTGTCATTTCTCTTTAAACCCTTAAACATCCTCCATTGGATCTCCTCTCATTCTTCTAAACTCCAGAAAGTATAGGCTTTAACTGCTTAATCTGTCTTCATAAGGCAAACCCCTCATCTTTGGAATCAATAGAGTGAACCTCCTTTGCACTGCCTCCAATACAACTACATCTCTCCTCAAGTAAGGGGATCAAAATTGTACACAGTACTCTAGATGTGGTCTCAATAATGCCTTGTGAAAATTCAGCAACACTTGCTTACTTTTATACTCTATTCCTTTAGCAATATGCCAAAATTCCATGTGTCTTTCTTATTATCTGATGTACCTGCACACTGATTCATGCATGAGGACAGGCACATCCTCTGCACTGAGCTACTTTGAAGTTTCTCTCCATTTATATAATAACTTGCCTTTTTTCCTGTGACCAAAATGGATAACCCTACACTTATCCACATTAAACTTCATCTGCCAAATTTTGGCTCATTCTCCTAATGTATTCATATCCATTTGTCAATTTCTTATTTTATCAACTTATTTTCCCGTCTTTTTTATGTCATCTGCAAATTTGGCTATCATACTTTTTATCCCTGCATCCAAATTATTAATATAATTCAACATGGCACATTGCCTCCTACACCATGGGCTATTATCGGTGTGGTACCTTTTCAAATCTGAATATCCAACTATATTACATCCACTGCTTTCCCTTTATCTATTCAAATTATTATGTCCTTGAATTCCAGTAAATTAGTTAGGCATGATTGCCCCTTCATGAAACCATACTGACTCTGATCATATTATGTGTTTCTGAATGCTCTGTTATTACATCCTTTATAATGGATTGACATTTTTCCCAATAACAAACGTTACGCTGACTGTCCTGTTTCTTTGTCTCCTTCCCTCTTTAAACAAGGTGTTATAGAGTCATAGAGTCATACAGCATGGAAACAGACCCTTAGGTCCAACTAGTCCAAACTGACCATGTTCCAAAACTAAACTAGTCCCACCTGCCTGCGCTTGGTCCGTATTCCTCTTAACCTTTCTATTAATGTACCTATCCAAATGTTTTTTAAATGTTATAACCACTTTCTCTGGCAGTTCATTCCACACATGAACCACTCTCTGCGTAAAAAAGTTTCCCTTCATGTCCTTTTTAAATCTTCCTCCTCTCACCTTAAAAATATGTCCCCTAGTTTTGAACTCCCCCACCCTAGGGAAAGGCCTCTTGTCATTCAACTTACCTATGCCCCTCATGATTTTTAAAATCACAATAAGGTCACTCCTCAACCTCCTACACTACAATGAAAAATATCCCAGCTTTTCCAGTCTATTTTTTTATATCTCAAACCCTCCATTCCTGGCAACATCCTGGCAAATCTTATCTGAACCCTCTCCAGTTTAATAATATCCTTCCTATAACAAGGCGACCAGAACTGCACACGGTACTCCAGAAGAGGCCACACCAATGTCCTATACAATCTCAACGTGATGTCCCAACTCCTATACTCTAAGGTCTGAGAAATGAAGGCAAGTGCGCTACATGCCTTTTAAACCACCCTGTCTACCTATGACGCAAATTTTAAAGAATTATGTACCTGAACACCGGGGTATCTCTGTTCTACAATACTACCCAGGTCCCTGCCATTAATTGTATAAGTCCTGTCCTTGTTTGCATCACCAAAATGCCACATCTCGCATTTATCTAAATTCAACTCCATCTGCCACACCTCAGCCCTTATCAGTTTACTACCAGATTGTTCACTATCTCTGTGGCTACTCTCTTTAATATCCCAGGATGCATCCATCTTAACAAATCAGAATTAACCTGCCTGGTTTAAATTTAAACAAAGCTATGCAGTTAAATTTCAGTTATCATTTAACTGTACATTATCCATGCATCTCTACCATTTGTTTTTTTATTCATTTGTGGGATGTGAGCATCGCTGGCTGGCCAGTATTTATTACCCATCCCCAGTTGCCCTTGAGAAGGTGATAGTGAGCTGCCTTGTTGAACCACTGCAGTCTACCTGCTGTAGATTGACCCACAATGCCATTAGGGAGCGAATTCCAGGATTTTGACCCAGCAACAGTAAAGGAATGGCGATATATTTACAAGTGAAGATGGTGAGTGGCTTGTAGGGGAATTTGAAGGTGGTACACTGCTGCTACTGAGTGTCGATGGGGGAGGGAGTGGGATGTTTGTGGATGTAGTGCCAATCAATTGGGCTGCTTTGTCTTGGATGATGTCAAGCTTCTTGAGTGTTGTTGGGGCTGCATGCATCCAGGAAAGTGAGGAGTATTCCATCACACTCCTGACTTGCGCCTTGTGGATGGCAGACAGTCTTTAGGGAATCAGGAGGTGAGTTACTGTAGTATTCTTAGTCTCTGACCTGTAGCCACCGTGTTTGTGGCAAGTCCAGTTGAATTTCTGGTTAATGATAACCCCAAGGATGTTGATAGTGGGGGATTCAGTGATGGTAACACCAGCGAATATCAAGGGGCGGCGGTTAGATTGTCTGTTATTGGTGATGGTCATAGCCTGAAACTTGTGTGGCACCAATGTTACTTGCCACTTGTCAGCCCAAGCCTGGATTTTGTCCAGATCTTTTGCATTTGAATGTGGACTGCTTTAGTATCTGAGAAGTCACAAATGGTGCCGAACATTGTGCAATCATTGTCAAACATCCCCATTTCTGACCTTATGATGGAGGGAAGGTCATTGCTGAAGCAACGGAAGATGGTTGGGCCTAGAGCACTACCCTGAGGAACTCCTGCAGAGATGTTCTAGAGCTGAGATGACTGACCTCCAACAACCACAACCATCCTCCTCTGTGTCAGATATGACTCCAACCACCGGGGAGTTTGCCCCCGATATGCACTGATTCCAGTTTTGTTAGGGCTCCTAGTTGTCATACTTGGTTGAATGCAATCTTGATTTCTAGGGCTGTAACTCTCACCTCACCTCTGGAATTCAGCTATGAATTCAGCCACTGGAGTGAACTGAATTGACTGAAGACTGGTATCTAATGCTGGGAACGGCTGGAGGAGGACGAGATGGATCAACCACTCGGCACTTCTGGCTGAAGATTGCTGTGAATGCTTCAGCCTTATCGTTTGCTCTGATGTGCTGGGCTCTTCCATCATTGAGGATGGGGATATTGGTGGAGCCTTCTCCTCCAGTGAGTTGTTTAATTGTCCACCACCATTCACGACTGGATGTGGCAGGCCTGCAGACCTTAGATCTAATCCTTTGGTTGTGGGATTGCTTAGCTCTGTCTATCATTTAAAAACTGAAAGAACTGCGGATGCTGTAAATTCGCAACAAAAACGTAAGTTGCTGGAAATGCTCAGTAGGTCTGGCAGCATCTGTGAAGAAAAATCAGAGTTAACATTTCGGGTCCAGTGACCCTCGGAACATTGAGTAGAGGGTATGCCATTCTGAGGAAGAGTCACTGGACCCAAAACATTACCTCTGATTTTTTTCTTCACGGTTGCTGCCAGACCTGCTGAGCTTTTCCAGCAACTTCTGTTTCTGTCTATCATTTGCTGCTTATGCTGTTTGACATGCAAGTAGTCCAGGTTGACACTTCATCTTCAGGTATGCCAGGTGCTGTTGATGGCACACCCTTCTGCACTCTCCATTGAACCAGGATTGATCCTCTGGCTTGATGGTAATGGTTGAGTGGTGAATATGCTGAGCTATGAGGTTACAGATTGTGCTGAAGTACAACTCTGCTGCTGTTGATGGCTAACAATGCCTCATGGATGCCCAGTCTGCTAGATCTGTTAGAAGTCTGTCCCATTTAGCACGATATTAGTGCATCACAACACGATGGGGGTTATTCTCATTAGCCCCCACATGTTAATAAAAAGAACTTTTGTAGGGTCTACAGGGCTGTTTGTGCCATTGTCTTTTCTAGTGCGTAGGTCGATGCCAGGTGATCCATTCAGTTTCATTTTTTTTGAGACTTTGTAGTGATTGGTAGAACTGAATGGCTTGCTAGGCCATTTCAGAGGGCAGTTGAGAGTCAATCATATTTCTGTGTATCTGGAGTCACATGTAGGCCAGACCAGGTGAGGATGGCAGATTTCTTTCTCTGAAGGACATTTGAGGACCAAAAGGGTTTTTCCAACAATCAACAATGATGTCATGGCCATCAGTAGATTCTCAATTCCAGAGTCTCTTTTTATTGAATTCAAATTCCACTGTCTGCTGTGGGGGGATTCAAACTCGAGTCCCCAGAATATTAGAGATAACAAGGTGTAGAGCTGGATGAACACAGCAGGCCAAGCAGCATCAGAGGAGCAGGAAGGCTGACGTTTCGGGCCTAGACCCTTCTTCAGAAAAGGGGCTGAAGAAGGGTCTAGGCTCGAAACGTCAGCCTTCCTGCTCCTATGATGCTGCTTGGCCTGATGTGTTCATCCAGCTCTACACCCTGTTAGCTCAGATTCTCCAGCATCTGCAGTTCCTACTATCCCCAGAATATTAGCTGAGTTTCTGGATTAATAGTACAGTGATAATTCCTCTCGGCCATTGCCTTCCCATGTCTGAAGAGTTCAGTTACTAACTAATCAGCACTCTCCTCCTGCAGATAAAAAAGTTGTTTATTTTTATATTAGTGTTTCATGCAAATTGTCCTAAAAAGAAAGATGAAAAACTTCAACAAACCATGCTCTTTTTTCAGCATTACTCAAGTCCTCTACTATCAAATGAAAATTTAGTCTATATATACTGGTCCGAAGCAACGGGATCAGGGCCCTGGAAATAGTGATTTGTAACAAGATCATAAAAATGGTGATTTTCATAAAGTCTCAAAACTCTTCCTCTTACCATCTTGCTACTATTAATGGAAATGAAACAATTGAGTTATATGGAGAGTGTTTCTCTTTCTGAAATAAGGAAATGGAGTAATTTAGCATATTATGAAATAATAAGCAGATGATATCAAAATGTGTGCACAGCCTTTGCAAAACCTTTGTTGCGATTGGGATTTTTCTTCCACACTAAGTTGTAAAACAATCTAGCAATGAAACAGCTGAATTTACATTAGAAGTAGAGTTTTTTAGCAAATAAACTGGCTGATGATTTCCTGGATGAATAATATGTGACAAGGACTCTTTTTGTTTTGCAGTTGCTACCAGCTTTGAGTGTATTAATACAACACAGTGACACGAATGTAAGTATTTGGAAAGTTCATTCTTTGTTTGTAAATGAAGACATAGAATGTGTACTTGCTTACCTAAACGACTATTTGTTTCCTCAGATTCTAGTTGACACAGTGTGGGCCCTCTCCTATTTGACAGATGGAGGAAATGAACAAATTCAGATGGTGATAGATTCTGGTGTTGTACCTCATCTAATTCCACTTCTCAGCTGCCAAGAAGTCAAAGTTCAGGTACGCAGTGAAAAACTAACCAAGGCCTCCTATTAGCTAGAATCATGGATCATTGCAATTAGTACTTTATACAAACTAGTGCAGTAATAGCTAGTGAGATTAGTACTTTGTACAGACTGCACAGTGATTGCCATAAGAAATCGGGGCAGGAGTAGACCATTCAGCCCCTCACACCAGCTGTGCCATTCCATTCAGTAATGTCATGGCTAATCTGTTAGGGGCCTTAACACCACTTCCTTGCCTGTCAGTTCGTTCTCTCACTCATTCTGTCAGTCATTTTTCTCGTTCTTTCTCTGTCTCTGTGACAGACTGATTGAATTGCTGACAACAGTAGACTGCTGGAGATCTTCAGTTCAGATTGAAATCAAGCTGATCCGTGTCTTTGGAAAGTGGCCACCGTTCAGCTTCTCATGATTTATTACATAAACAGAAATACCTATTTTTGGAACTTTGTCAGATTCCTAAGAAATTTCTCTGAGAAAAGGAGAGATACTTGCACCTCCTGTTGTTTTCTTCCTTACTATTTACATCACGTGGAGGTGCTGGTGTTGAACTAGGGTGGACAAAGTCAAAACTCTCACAACACCGGGTTGTGGTTCTACAGGTTTATATGAAGACACCTGAAGAAGGAACGAGACTCTGAAAGCTTATGTCTTCAAATAAACCTTTTGGACTATAACCTGGTGCCGTGTAATTTTTTGACCATTTACATCACTGCCATCAGAAAACTAATTACAGAAAGGGTTGCTAGGTGTCAACAGCAAAGAGGCCTCCATAGTCTTTTTGTAAGCCATGTTTTCTAGCAATTAAGGGCTATACACCTTACCTCTATATTGCCTTCTAAGATACTTGTAGCACCTGCATGCTAACTTTTCATGTTTCATACAAAAAAACACCCAAATTCCTCTGTATTGCACCTTTCTTAGAGTATCTTTTTATTTTAATAAGTCGATCTTTGATTCTTCCTATCAAAGTGCAACACCTCACACTTTCCTACATCAAACTCCATTTGCCAAGTTCTTCCCCACTCAGTCAAGCCCCTGCAGATTTGTTATGCCCTCATCACAGCGTATCAGCAGCAAATTGGATACTTTACATTCTTTTCCCTCGTCCAAATCATTAATATATACAGCAAATAATTGGAGGCCTAGGACTAATCATAGAAACATAGAAGATAGAAGCAAGAGTAGGCCATTCAGCCCTTTAAGCCTGCTCCACCATTCATTGAGATCATGGATGTTCATCCAACTCAGTAGCCTGATCCTGCTTTTCCCTCATAGTTTTTGATCCCTTTAGCCAGAGGTGCTATATCCACCTGCTTCTTGAAATCATAGTGTTTTGCCCCTAACTGCTTTCTGTGGTAGCAAATTCCGTAGGCTCACCACTGTCTGGGTGAAAAGATTTCTCCTTATGTCAGTTGTAAATTGTTTACCCCATATCCTTAGACAGTGACCTCTGGCTCTGGACTCTCACACCATCGGGTACATCCTTCCTGCATCTACGGTGTCTAGTCCTGTTAGAATTTTGTAGGTTTCTATGAGATTCCTCCTTATGCTTCTGAACTCCAGCAAATATAATGCTAACCGATTCAACCTCTCCTCAGACATCTGTCCCGACTTCCCAGGACCCAGTCTGGTAAACCTTTACTGCATTCCCTCTATAGCAAGAACATACTTCCTCAGATAAAGAGACCAGAACTGCACACAGTACTCTTGGTGTGGTCTCACCAAGACCCTGTATAATTGCAGTGAAACATCCCTGCTCCTGTACGTGAATCCTCAATATGAAGGCCAACATACCATTTGCCTTCTTGATCGCCTACAGCACCTGCATGCTTACTTCAGTGACGAGTGTATGAGGACATCGAGGTCTTGTTGCACATTCACTTATATAATAATCTCCCTTCCTGTTTTTGCTGCACATTGCACATGTATCTGCCAAGCATTTACCCAATTACTCAGCTTGTCCAAATCACGCTCAGTTATAACATAAGAACTAGGGGCAGGAGTAGGCATTTCAGCCCCTCGAACTGGCTCTGCTATTTAATACAGTTAAGGCTGATCTCATCTTGGCCTTTACTTTCTTGCCTGCTGCCCATAACCCTTCAACTGGTTCTGGGTACACTGCTTTTTGTCATTTATATAAATGATTTGAATCTGATATAGGAAGAATGGTTAGTAAATTTGCACATGATACCAAAATTGTTGGCGTAGTGGACAGCGAAGAAAGTTACCTCGTGTACAATGGGACCCTGATTGGATGAGCCAATGGACCGAGGAGTGGCAGATGGAGTTTAATTTAGATAAATTGAAATACTACATTTATGCTTAATGGCAAGGTCCTGGGAAGTATTGCCAGCCAAAGAGACCTTGGAGTGCAGGTTCCTAGTTCCTTGAAAGTGGTAAACAGGGTAGTGAAGAAAGCGTTTGGTATGCTTGCCTGTATTGGTCAGTGCATTGAGTATAGGAGTTGGGAGGTCATGTTGCAGCTGTACAGGACATTGGTTAGGCCATTTTTGCAATATTGCGTTCAGTTCTGGTCTCCTTGCTATAGGAAAACTGTTGTTAAACTTGAAAGGGTGCTGAAAAGATTTACCGGGATGTTGGCAGGTTTGGAGGGTTTGAACTATAGGCTGGGGCTATTTTCCTTGGAGCATTGGAGGCTGAGGGGTGACCTTATAGAGCTGTATAAAATCCTGAGGGACATGGATAGGGTGAATAGCCAAGGTCTTTTCCCTAGAGTGGGGGAATCCAAAACTAGAGGGCATAGGTTTAAGATGACAGGGGAAAGATTTAAAAGGAACCTAAGGGGCAACATTTTCACACAGAGGGTGATGCGTGTATGGAATGACCTGCCAGAGGAAGTGGTGGAGTCTGGTACGATTACAACATTTAAAAGGCATCTGGGTGGGTATATGAACTGGAAGAATTTAGAGGGATATGGGCCAAATGTTGGCAAATGGGACTAGATTAATTTAGGATATCTGGTTGTTATGGATGAGTTGGACGGAAGGGTCTGTTTCTGTGCTGTACGTCTCCATGACTCTGTGACTCTAAATATCTGTCGCCACAAATTTACTCAAAGTCCATTGCCCTTTGGGGCAGTGAATTTTCAGAGATTGGTGACCCTTTGTGAGAAACAATCAGGAATCCTACTTCAGGTGCAGCGGTAATGGCAAAACTATAAGAAATGTATTGATTAAATCGGAATAGAGAGAAATTGAACAAGTGAATAAAGCATCAATGCTGAGGGACAGGTTTGAGTGTACTGGTCTGAATAAGAGTTCTACGTACAAATGCACTCCGTGTAACAAATAAATTAAATGAGCTGCAGGCCCAAATTCAAATTGGAGATTATGATATAGTAGCCACTACTGGGATATGGCTGCAGGATGGTCGGTACTGAGAACCAAATATACCAGGCTATAAAGTTTACTGGACACAGGGAAAATGGCAAAGATAATAGATTGGGAGAGGCAGACAAGCACCTGTCAGAAAGGTAGAGAATTCTGAATTGTGACTGGGATAGTTTCCTCCAGCAATATGTTCTGGATGCAACAAGGGACCAGCAATATTAGATTTAGTGATGAGTAGTGAGTGGATTTAATTAGTAACCTAATTGTGCATGAATGTATATGAAGTAGTGATCATAACATGATTGAATTCAACGTAGCATTTGAAAACAAAAAGCTTTTAATTTGATTTGATTTATTATTGTCACATGTACAAGATACAGTGAAAAGTATTGTATTGTGTGCTAGCCAGACAAATCATATGTTACATAAGTACATCAAGGGTAATAGAACAGAATGAAGAACGTGGTGTTACAGCTACAGAGAAAGATCTAATCTGATATATTGATTGGGGAGCAGGCTCGAAGGACCGAGTGGCTTATTCTTGTTCTTCTGTTAGCATGCTTGTATGTTCTTAGCATTACCATCAGCTTGAATCGTAATAAAGGCAAATTAACTATTGTTCTTTGTAACAAGGGGAATGAAATCTAAAATACAATATAAATGTAAAAGTTGAGAGGTTTTGCTACAGTCAGCAGGGCATTATTCAGACTGCATCTGGAGTACTGTGTCTGGTTTCGGCCTCCTTACATTAAGGATAAGACTTTTGGAAGGAGTTCATAGAAGCTTCATTCAACGGATGACTGAGTTGGAGCAGGGCTTACCTTATGAGGAAAGACTGGACGCTGGGCTTATATGTATTAAAAGAATGAGAGATGATTTTATTAAAACATATAAGATCCTGACTTGACTTGACAGAGTTGATGATGAAAGGAGTTTCCTCTTGTGGGAATGACTGGAACTAGTTTAAAAGTTGTCTTATTTAAGATGGAGATGTGGAGAAACATTTTCTCTGAGGGTTTTGAGCCTGCAGGACTCATCGCCAGACAGTGATTGAATATTTTTAAGGCAGCACTAGGTTGATTCTTGATCAACAAGAGAATCACATGTTAGTGGTGGTAGATGAGAATGTGGAGTTGAGCACACAATTAGAGCTGACATGATTTCACTGAAGAGCAGAGCAGGCTAAAGGGACCAAACAACCTCCTCTTTCCAATTCTAATGTTCTTATCGCTAAGGTTCTTAATCTGTGACACACAATGTAATAATTTTGGTGCGCAGTACAGTTTGATATGTGTGAAATGTTTGTATCTCTTTTTTACACAGACAGCTGCACTGAGAGCTGTGGGTAATATCGTAACTGGCACTGATGAGCAGACGCAGATCATATTGAATTGTGATGTACTCTCCCACTTCCCAAACCTCCTCACTCACCCAAAGGAAAAGATCAATAAGGTAACACACTACAAGTTATTTTGTAGATGCACTGATAGCTTCTGATGTTCCACATCTCCAGCCCCCCAGACTGGCCGCTTCATGCCCTCCCCGGCCCCCAGGACCTGCCCATGTGCCCACACTCTGTCCCTTTGGGTCTGATGCACAACCTTGCCCCGTGCCACCACCCCCGGGACTTGCTGGTGATTTTATGACAGAGAATTTCTGCAGAGTCTGATCCAATTCTTATTAATTATTAGGACTCATTTACTTTCCAGCTGGAGTTTTTGGATTGCAAGTAGGAACTCAGGTGGATTTCTCTCCCTCCATTTCTCTGATGCTGTTTAAACAGCTCTGATGTTAAACTGGTTGAAAGTACCTGACCCAATTCAGAGTTAGTACTAAATATTTGGTCAACAGTTTGTTTTGCTCTAAAATGAAGACAAAGTCACCATTTGTGAGATAATGTGAGGTAATTCATTTTGGTAGAAGAAACTTGAAGAGACAATACAGGCTCAATGATACAACTTTAAGGGGAGTACAGAAGCAGAGGGACATTGGGGTTCTCATACATGATTCTCTGAAGGTTACCAGAAATTGAAACAGTTGTTAAGAAGGCATATGGGATCTTTGGGTTTATTAATATACAAGGGGAATGAAATCTAAAGTACAATATAAATATAAAATTCGAGAGATTTTGCTACAGTCAGCAGGGCATTGCTCAGACATAATCTGCTGCCACTAGTTGATATGTCATTAATTGGGGATCTCAATTTCAATATTGTCAACAAGACAACCAGGAGTGAGATGAACAGAAACTTCTTTACGCAGAGAGTTGCTAGGATTTGGAATGCGCTCCCTGGGAGAGTGGCAGAGGAATTCCACAGGAGGTTTCAAAAGAGTGCTGGATATTTATTTGAAAGTGATTAACTTAGAGGGCTACGGTGATAGGGTGGGAGAATGGGACTAGCTGGGTAGCTCTTTTGGGAGCTGGTACAGACATGATAGGTCGAATGGCCTCCTTCTGTACTGTAAAATTCTATGGTTCTATTTCAATTTCTGATTTATTTACTATCAATAAATCATTCTGGCAATGTGACCTGACCTGTGCTAATGTTGTGTGCAGGAAGCAGTATGGTTTCTTTCAAATGTCACAGCTGGAAACCAGCAGCAAGTGCAATCGGTCATAGATGCTGGACTCATTCCCATGATCGTGCATCATCTCACCAAAGTAAGTAACTTCCTGAAGGATTAACCTGCATGGCTGGACCTTTTGTTTTACGAAGCATTTAGAATACTCGGAATTTTAGTTTCTGTATTATGGGGCTTTTACTCTGCCTGCACGAGCTTAAAAAAACAGTAGCTCAGTGATGTGCCCAGCAGCAATCAGTTATACCACCACTTCATGGCCAAGCTAACAATCCTCTGCTCAAATGTGCCCACAGATAAAATGTTCTGCTCTGAGGGAGCACTGGGCACTTGAGGATTGGGATTGAGAGAATGGTGTAGTGTTGGAGAGTCAGTATTGAGGGAGCCCTGCATTGTTGGAGGGTCAGCACAAAGAGAGCGCTGCACCTTCAGAGAGTCGGTGCTGAGGGAG